TTCCACAACAAAAACATGTATTAGTAAGACTCTTTTCCGCTGGGAAGTGACATGGCGGTCCTGCCATTTCCTTCGGATCTTCTCCTCTCTCCGTTCACGTTTGACCTCATCTAGCATCTGCTCCTCTTCCTAGAAAAAAGACAGAAAGAAAAACACCTCCCTCGCCCAGCCTTGATTATTAATATGATCTAACAATTTGTCGTGGAAGTTTCCATTTAATAAAGCCTGCAGAGAAACAGTGAGCGGTGGCTGACAACCTTTAATCAAAAAAGAACAGAAATCCAGGCTTGGGGAGAGAAGCCATCCTCGCTGACGGTTGGCAGAGTCTCTCCCTGAAGCCAGCAGGGCCCTGAGTTTAAATACCATCATATCATTTAAATAAATGAAAAAAAGAAAAACAATTCCAGACCAAATAATTATATTTTTCCTTAAAGGTCAAGGTGGTGGAGGGTTTATTCCAGGTGTTCGTGGAGGTGGTGGAGGAGGATTTTTACCAGGATATGGATGTAAGCATGCCACGTGGACATAATATTTTTAGATATTTCAAGGATTCAATTATATTTTTCAATCTTATTCACGTTGTCCTGATAATCTTACCTTTTGTCTTTACTTTGGTGCAGCTTTGGCAGCCAAACCTCCTAAATATGGTGAGACTTTGATATTCACAGTTTGGTACCTCATAATATTTGCCAAACGTATTCCACCTGTACAAGTCTATCAACATTTTAATACATAAATCCAGTGATACAGTTTTTGTTAAAGGTTGTGCCTTTAATGCAATATTGGATTTAATTTGGTTTGTTAAAGCTGTGCTGACACATTTTATAGGAGTGCCAGGAGCAGGCCTAGGAGGAGGGGTTGTCCCAGGAGGAGGAGGGGTTTTCCCAGGGGGAACAGGACAGGTAGTCCCTGGTGGTGGATTGGGTGGTAAGTCGCTAAAGGTTTGGGGTTTTTTAAAAGAACTTCTTCTCTGTCGTTTGTGATAATTCAGCAGCAAGCTTTGTTTGGTTTCTTACAGGTTTTGGAGGTGGTGCTGGAGTCAAACCACCAAAGTATGGTAAGGCTTTTGTTTTGATTGCACTCTAGAATAATATGATGAAAATAACACCAATGCAATATGGAGAGAAATACTAAACTGTATTAGCAGCAGTACGTGGATCACACTCCCCTGCTGAAAAACGTAGGAGGCAGAAATAAGTATAAAACTGCATAAATCCTGCACGTTGAGAAATATTTCCTCGGGCATGAATGTATTCTCACTCATTAATCTAACTTCACTTTAGATTTTAATACTTGAACTAATTGTACCACCTGCACTAATGTAGGAGTTCCTGGAGGAGCCGGAACAGGGCTAGGACCTGGAGGAGTTCCTATTGGAGGAGTTGCAGGTGGACCGTACTCCCCCGCCGCAAAAGCTGCTAAATACGGTACGGTGAAACGACCACACAAGCATATGAGTGCTGCAAAATATTGGACACATTTCCTTGATGATTCTGAGAGAAAGAGTGCAGTTTTCTGTCACTTCAAGCATTTTTCACTTAATCATTTCTATAAATTTTTATATTGTCTTAGTTGCAAATTAATGATGCAGCTGGTTCTGGTTCTTTTGATTAGGAGTTGGAACTGGAGGTCTACCTGGAGGTACTGCATGAAAACACCAAACAGCCATTGAGTGTGATTATAGAATTCAACTAACATCAAACAATGTCATGATATGAGTATTAATGACATTGTGTTTTTACACAGGATTTCCAGTTGGAGCAAAAGCACCAAAATACGGTAAGAACCTCAAAACTAATAGAAAAAGCTACATTGTTTTATAATAAAGATGCAAAGATGCAGAAGTTGGTTAAAAGATAAAATACCAAATCACAGCCAATTACAGTCAACTGGAGTAAAGCTTCATCCACCAATGACATCAGGTATCAGGGTCCATGTCATGATGGGAAACAAGTTAGGGTTCTGGCAAATTATAGACAGAATTTGGATGAATTTAAAATGTTGTATCATTGCAGTAGTTCCAGGAGTGACTCCATACACACCTGTCAGTTTTCCAAATGGCTCTGTTGTACCTGGTCAATTAGTTCCTGGAAAACCAGGTAAAGCTTAGAGTACAGCTTCTTGTTTGTTTGTTTGTTTGTTTGTTTGTTTGTTTGTTTGTTTGTTTGTTTGTTTGTTTGTTTGTTTGTTTGTTTGTTTGTTTG